AATAGTTATTTATTGTTGTGTGTGTGTGTGTGTGTGTGTGTGTGTGTGTTTATATATTATTTCTTTAAATTTAATTTCTTAAAATTAAAACATTTGTGTAAAATATAATATACCAGAGATATTTGCATAGAATTTATTCTTAAAATATTTATTTCATAGTAAGCTGATGTCTTGTAGAAAATATTAAGGACGTTAATTCTATACTTATAAATCTATAATGTACATTTGTAATATACTTTGATTTATTTATTTCATAAACAATCTATAACATATACATTGGTATAATCTAATAAAGTCACAAATCATATAATTACATTTCATCATGTGTAGAAAGTACTTGAAAATGGCTATGTTATATAAGAATGACTATCTACAAATATTGTCCATATTTCACAAATTTAATATTTAATCTCTAAAGATTTTTATGCAGAACACTATTTATCCTTTTCTATTTAAATTCGCATCAGTTGTAAAACGTACAATATAGAAAATTCGCGTGATCATAGTCGCGCAGATACGAAAAATTTTATCATCAATTACATGGAGAACAAAAGTTTTCTAATCTGAAAAATCTCATTTAATTAAAATTGCCAAAGACTATATTTGGATATTATCTTTTATTATAAATCCAATCTTCTATCTTGTACGGCGATCAATAAAGGCAAATAATAAATAATTTTATATATCTTACATCTTGTTGCGGATTTTTTTATATTTCGTCATAGTACGGGGATTTCTGTGGTTTTATCGGCTTAGGCTTCGGCATCAGTATCGTACCCAATTCTGTCAGGAGCCATTTTGTCGCGCGTAATACCATAAAATGTACTGTAAATTGTAAAATAAGAGCACCAAATCCTTTATATAAACCAAGTGGACCTTCAGTTGAGATTATCGTGCGGTAACAATCGGCCGCACTGCTATATCCAGTCAATAATGGTGTAACGCTTCTTCCAGTGTCCAAATTGTCGATGATGGTGCGTGTACCTTGAAGATGTAACCGATGAATAACAGTTTCGAGAGGATAAAATACAATATCGGCCGTACACATTGAAACAAGAATAGATTGTGTTTCAATATCCTGTATTATGCTCTCGGATAGCAAATCCTTACTGTATGCACCCTAAAATAATATAATGTATAGAGTCACATCTATCATTTGCATCCCTTTAGTTTTTGATATATGACATTTAGAAAATTAAATATACATACTCTTGCTTCCTGTGAATGTTTATGCCTGACATGCATAATCCGACTAGCAATCCCTTTCACAACGAGAGTAAAAAGATATTTCGATACTCCATAAACTATAGTGGGCGGTATAAGAGCATAGATTGGAATGAGTCTACCTTTATTGCATACATCAAGTAGACGAATTGCACCGTCCCGAAAAACGTCTAAGATTCCAGGACATTCAGAAGCAATCTCAGACTGAACAGTTTCCACAAGTGATGCTGAATAAAAAGGAGTCACTATACCTATGGAGATGCTACATAACACATACAAGATTATATATAAGTAACTGGTTGCTATTCACTCATGCCGATATAGATTAGTATAATTACCATTTGAGAAGAATATGCTGACCGAATGCTTTCATCGAACTGTTACAAGTAATCTTCCTAAAAATTAAACGTTTAATTAAAAATTAAGAGTTAAGAAGAAAACAATTTTATGATATTTACAAATGCTACAAAACATCGGGCATATCCTCCAACAAACATCTTACTTTTGCCATGGCGTGATTTTTGAAATCAGATCCTCCACGGCCAATGTCATGCCTCTTACGAGTAGAACTGAGCCGATCCCTTTCCATAGCGTATTTATACCTTGAGTCTGATGCAAACGTATTATCACGGGTACTAGAGTTATGGGCATTAAGTGATACTTGGTTGCACTTGGGTTAACTTGACATTGCCTTCGTAACACCACGAAAGGATGAATTAGTAGATTTCCCGTGATCAAGCTCGCTAATCCACAGCCTAAACCAACGTATTTGTTCACGGCGATATCTAAAAGAAGATGGACAAATATAATGATGCAAGTCTCAGTTGAAGGCCGATTTTTCGACGATATTAGATATCGACATAGATGTTCTCGCAAAAATTATGTGACCAGCGAATAAAATGAGGACATGACTTACCATCGTCGATCACCGGTGGATCGTCCTCTGCCAAAGGATGGATGACGGGGATCTCCAGAGGACGGATAACCTCTCGACCATAGTATCTCTGATTCCCTGCCTCTCGCAATCTGGCAGGTCGACCTCTGTATACGTCCCCATAGCTCTCTAATCCTGCCATTCTTCTTGTGCGAAATGAGTCGACAACCGGTTCGTTTTGCTGGACATTTGCTTGAACCAACTTTCCCGTCACACTGTTGAACTTACTCGACAACACTTGCCAACGGCCATCGTGAATTTACATAGCTCAGTTCTCAGCTGCACCGCATTTTTTTTTTTTTTTCCCTCCGGTTGGAGGATGTCGGAATTTCCAACTATATGCCTTCAACCCTAGGGTTATATGACACAGGCTTATCTAAATCCTTTTTTTTACTCTCTCTGTGTCTTATATTAAATAATTCTATTTATCTTTTTGAAAAACTTATAAATGCTTTTTAATACTACCTAATCTAACTCTCTGGTAGCCGCTATTAAATCCACTTCCCCTCTCGCCCCCATACTCCACAGCTCCAAGTACATCCCCTCTCTCTCCTCGTCATACCTCACACACCGCAATATCACATGCTCCAGGCTTTCGCGCTCATTTCCGCAATCGCATCTAGCGTCCTCTATATACCCCTTCCTAGCCAGTGACTCATTCAAATTATAATGATTTGATCTGATTCTATTAATCCACACTATAAGATACCTTTCCTCGTTAGTATTACTGAACCACGGTTTTCTTCTTTTTCTTTTATAGAAATTCTCAAAATAGAATTTTCCTTTATACTCTGCATCTTTTATAATCCTATTTTGTGTGTTGTTCCAGAGTTCTCGTTTAAAAATGCTTCTGAAGTCACTATTCGGGACCTTAATTTCCTCCGTGGGGGGTTCCTGAGAGGTCTCTTTCGCCAATTTATCTGCTATTTCATTACCCGTGATCCCTACGTGCGCAGGAACCCATCCTATAATAATCCTACATTTCTTGCTGTTTATGATCTTCCTATATAAAGCTCTGGCTTTTATAATATACATATTTTTATATACCTGGAGTAAGTTATTCTCCAGGGCTTGTATAGTTGAAAGTGAATCGGTGAGAATTAAATAGTTTTGACTATCTTCTATTTTTTCTTGATAGATTAGTTCCAACATAACTGCATTTTAACTGCAAAAGCTTCTGCTGTGAAAGATGAGCATTCTTTTGGTAGGCTTATATTATACGCTGTTTCTTGTTCTTCTATAACTAGTCCTACTCCTGTAGATTTGCTCGATTTATCCTTGGAGCCATCCGTGTACATTATCTTGATAGTGCCTCTGATCCTGTTATTTTCTATGATAGCTTCAATCAGCTGTTTGTCTGTATGGAATTTCTTTTTCCATTGCCTCGCTGTATATTTATCGGTTTCTATTTCTTCCATAATTTCCTCGTAATCCGTCTCGAAAATTTCAAATTTTCTTCTTTCTCCCGTGTGCTTCTTTAACCATTTTATCCTCGACCAAGCATTTCCCAGGCAACTTTTGTTCGATGTAGGCCTGATATATCGTTCATAGTTTTCATTTGCTTCCAATTGATCTATTCTTAGTCTCGTCTCTTCATCTCCATATATCATAATTTTCAAAAGAAAATTCCTTGCTAGCATTTCTGCCCTATCCTGTAACAACATAACTTTCGATTCCGCTATAATTACGTTGTTCGGTGTACTATTTCTGTAGCCTAATGCTGTCCTAAGTCCTGCATACTGAGTCTTTTCCATTAATAGTCTTTGGTTGGCTTCCCTGGGAAGTAGAGTAAATAGTCCATAATCCACAACTGACCTTATTATACTTTTGTAAAGCAGCAACGCCGTGTTAACTTCCATACTTCTTTTCTTTTATTCAGATACTTCATAAGTCCATTTGCCTTCTTAATCTTGTTTCTGATCAGGTCAACCTGGTGATGAAAGTTAACCTTGTTGTCGAACCATAACCCAAGGAATCTTGCTCCCGCGCTATTCTGTATGTCCACCTCTCCTAATCTTATCTTCACTCTTTTATCTCATACTCCGTGCTTGTTAAATTCCATCAGAACCGTTTTTCTAGGTTCTAATTCCAATCCCAGCGCCTCCAATCTTTTCAGACGATCAGCCGCTTCCTGAATTGCGAGAGTGTTTGTCTCTCTATATAAACTTGTGGTGTATACAGCAATATCGTCCGCAAATTGAACTGTTCGTATCCCTCTTCCTAACTCCTCAGTGATATTCCTTCCTAGTGTATAGCGAGTACAGCAATGGACTCAACACAGCCCCCTGCGGCAGGCCTTTATGTACCCTTCTATCTACGGTCTCCTCCCCAGATACAATAAACTGAGTATACCTGACCCTGCTCCACGTGTACACAAATCTTACTATATCTCTGAGGCATCCTATCTCTTCTAGTTTCTCGATAAGGATGTTTAAGTCTACATTATCATAGGCCGCAGTTACATCCACGAATAACGTTGTGGTGTACTCTCCTCTGAAGAATCCATTCCTGATGTCTGCAGTGATTTGAGTCAGGTTGTCCGCACAAGACTTTCCTCTCCTGAATCCGTTTTGATCCCTGGCTATTAAGTTATTCTTCTCTGCCCACCATACCAATCTCTCATTTACCATCCTTTCCATGACTTTACATATGCAGGACGCCAAAGCTATCGGCCTGACTTTTTCCTGGTTTATCTATGAAGATCACTTGATATTCCTGCCAGCTTCTTGGTAGCACATTCCCCTTCCATATTTCATTAAATACCATCAGCATTTCTTGCTGCATCCTGTTTGGTAATAATTTAATCATGTCATACTCGATACCATCTCTTCCCGGTGATGTATTTTTTCTTATCATGCTTAATGCTCTTTTCCATTCCGCTGTTGTGAATCTTTCCTTCCATTCTAGTCTCTCCTACTGTTCCTCTCTAATTTCCATCGGTGGATTTTCCACAGACGGGGGAGCAAGTTTTTCTATCATTTCTCTTATACATTCCTCTCTGTTCTTACTTTTCCATTTATTCCATTCTATCTTTGCCCTATAATTCTTGAATATCCTTCCGATTGATCCTCTCCTATATCACGTGTCTTCGAGTCATTCGGGTTGTTAGTTTCTCCCGCGCACTTCTCAGTCTGTGAAAATTGTTTTCTTGCCTTCTTCTTTTTTCTTTCTACAGTTTTCCATTCTTCGTTCTCATTCTCAGTGTTCGTCGCATCTATCATCAATTGATCCAACGTGTCTTCCGTCGCTGGCCTTTTTCCTTTGTTATTTTCTTCATTCATTTCCACGTTTAATCTTGCTTCGAGCCTCTTTATTGTCCTCTTTAGTGTCTCATTCTCTCTCAGTGTCAAGCTTATACTTTCCTTTCTCTCCTCTCGCCGTCCCTCTCCCGGGGGCTCCTCGCAATCCTTTATTTTTTCTATATTGCCTATTGATGTTCCCGTTCCTTAATATCCTACTATTGC